AAGAAAGAACTTATTCCCTCAAATCAAGGTATTTTCACAGGAGATTATCTTTTGAAGAAAAAACAGAAGACACCTGGAGCTACTCTGATCTCAAGGATAATTTCCTTAAACATTCTCAATTTGATCCTATTGGCTAATAATTTTCAACCACATCTAGTACCATTCTTCTAGGAGGTATATTTAAACATCAGGGGAATTTTTGGTAGTTACCATGACGGAGGGGAAGCTATCAGCATATGGAGGACAGGAGTCAAAGGAACTTAATGTCCTGCAATGAAAGAGGCATTCCCACATCAAGAAGAGGTGTCCCGCCAAAACGCCAACAGTAGCAGCTGTTAGGAAACACTGTCACGTGATGCTGTTTATCACTGAACACACCTTTGGCATACTTGAGAAGAACTGATAGAACTTTGGATTCTTACATTTTGGAGAATCAGATTTAAAATAAGGCAAATATCATTAATGCAGTTCATCCCTTAGAAACTGTTCAAGTAAATCCATGCCTTTTACTTTTGCTTTGTATTCATAGCTAATCTAATTCCAAAAGAAACTGTCTTCAAGTAAATAACTTAGCAGGGCACCTTTTTCTTACAAATTATAATTCATCTGCGTATTAACTCTAATCAGAATCTGTTTAGAGGTATAGACTTCTAATAAGAACACTTTTATTGTGTTATTAGGTGAGAAAAGAGCCAAAGTTTGACATAAAAAACTTTCTAAATATACCAACATTTTATGCAGATCTTTATTTTTCTAAGCAAATATTTTTCTTGTGTTCACCACATGTACTAAATATTTTTAATTGAAAAATTGCTGCTTTAATGCCAAATACTACCAAAAATTAATTACCAGTTTAGATAATTGAACCACATATGTCAATTTTTACAGGGCTATCTAATGGCATAAAACCTTTAACAAAAGTATCTTTATACCAGCATTGCATAGCTGTCACTCAAATCCCTGTAAGATTTTCATGAACTCATTTGGGATTTAAATGAATATTAATGAAAACATTCACAGGAGGTTTTTGTAGCAGGACAGGAAAGTGTTTTCGAAAATATTGGCATTACTTGTTAACACTGATATTTATGAATATGTTGAAAACGTCTCTGGTGTACCCAAGCACCAATTAGTCCAGTGCTAACTGGACTAGTTTTATTATAGTCAAGTTCAGTTTGTTTAACTTGTGGTTAATTTTTTCCCAGTGCTCGATTATTACTGTTCATACATAAATGCGCATACCCCCTTCTTGTTTACTAACAACCATGTATATGGGATAAATGTGGCTTTTTGTTTTTTCCCCTCTAGACAATGGTCCATATTAGGCTATTCTCTCACATTATGATTGTAAACTACTGGATCTCACAGGTAGGCAGACCAGGTGAACCTCAGTTCACCATTTGAGGGGCCAACTGAGAAAACGAAGTTTTCTCTTTAAAAAAATCTTTTAAGCTCTGTTTCTCGCTAAGACTTGGTGTACAGTTGTTTCTCAATACGTTTCCTAATCACTTTGATCCAGTTTTGAGAAAGGCTGTGACACACCAAAATGACCTCTTAGATAATGAGAGTCCATGTAACGGTTCATGAGGCAATCCAACACTGTTAGGCCATCTAATGGGAAACATGGCATTTATAAGAGTTCCTAAATATCTGTCAAGAATAAGGCAGTGATCTTTACAACAACCTAACAGTCTCAAGGCCACATAATTAATATGTACACTAGCTGCCATTCATTATACATGTGCTTGGCACAGTGCTAAGAATTTCACAGGTATTATCTCATTTGACCTTTACTCCCATTATATGAAATTGAATATTATCCTCTTTTTGTGCATGAAAAAATGAAGAAACAGTTTTTGAGAAGTTTTTGCACATGAAGAAACCAAGATTTCGAGAGGTTTGGCAATCTGTCCTAGCTGGTAAAAGGCAGAGCCAGGATAAAAACCCAGAGAGACCAGACTACAGAGGTCCTGCTTTTACCCTCTTCCCTCCTTTGCCCGAGACCCGGGCCTTTAGCTGTGGAATCTGAGCAAGTTAACTCTTGGTGCCTAAATTCCTCTTCTACAAATGTAGATATTGATAGACTCACAGAGAGTAGTAGCATAGTGCCTAGAACTTGGTAAACATTACAGAGATGTTGCTACAGTCATATACTCTTGGGCTTCTCAAAGTAGGTGGATTGTAGTCCGCCCCAAGTGTAGAATAAATTGCAGCTCAGTCTCCTCTTCCAAAAAAATGGAACTCGATCATGGGCAGAGATAATTTCTAGGGAGAGTGTCCTTCCCTCATAGCAAGAAGAAAAGTCTCCATTTCCTGCCTATACACAGTCACTCAATAGGCAAAAGAATGGGGCTGGATACACCAGTTTCTGAGGTGAGGTGCCTTTCTCAAATTGCCTTTTATCAGTTCTTAAAAACATTTCTTACAACTGCTAAATCCCTTTCAAGTTATTTAGGATATATGTCTCTTACATTGAGAAGGAAATTGATTGAAAGCTAACGGGATATTGTGATGAGCACCAGGTGTCAGAAGTGTCAAATCACTATGTTGTACAGCTGAAACTAATATTATTACGCTGTATGTTAACTAACTAGAATTTAAATGAAAACTTAAAAAATTAGAAATAAATAAATAAAACATATCTAACAACAACAACAAAGCACTAATAGTATAGGAGGAAGATTAACCTGGATAACGAGATGTGAATTTTGAGAACAGAATTCCACCCCCATCCATCTTGGAAACCATAGTGCAGTGTCTGGAATGATTCCAGAGGTTCAAAAATAGCTAGTCTATGTTTTAGGTGTTTTCCATAAACGTTATTCCTCATGATAGCACTTCAGGGTAGATACTACCAACCACATTTTAGAGATAAGAAAAACTGAGGAAATTGTTAAATAATTGCTCAACCTTACGAAAGTACAAAACTGACCTTGAAATCTAACTCTGAAGTTAATTACCTTTTTCCATGTGAATATCTTAAAAAAAAAAAAGTTTACTGAATATAAATATAGAAATAAAAGTAAATGCAGGAGACCTCCTTTTATTTCAGATTCATGATCCAGGAATATGACTCTGGATGAGGGATATTTCTATAGGTCACTCTGCCCTTCTTCCCTTCAGGAGGGCTCAAGGCTGAAAATATAAGCTACGTATTATAAAAGAGTAAATGCATACCCAGAAATAAACTGAGCATTTATAGGAGGATTCAAGAACTTGGACATTGGGAAATGGTGTTAAAAATTTCACATCACTTACCATTATTAAAACACTCCCTGGGGGGAAAAAGCAGTATGTAATTGCAAACTGCTGATGTGAGTTTTGAAAAAAACAAAAAACAAAAAACGATTTCTGACTTCATGAGTTGTTACACAACACACTGAGTTGCTTAAGGTAATAATCTTTCCCTTTCACTGAATCATTCAGTTGCCCGGTCACTTAGATTGCTTTAAATGTAATGTGTTCAGAAGCAGAAAGTGGAGTTAAGATTGCTTCACCAGGGCTAAACAAGGGTCACCTTGTTCAACCCTCACCTACTCTCTGCAGCCACCACCCAGCTTTGATACTCAGCCACACTTCCCTGAAATGCACACTTAGTACTTGTGGTTCCAAGGACGACAGCACATTCAAATCAATGCGTCTTTCGAAAGTTTGCAGCCCTCCTGAGCTCTGAACTTGTGCTCAGTCATAAGCACGCAGTGCCAGGAAAGGGCATCTAGCGCCCACTGTTTCCTCCTGACCAGTCTTTTCCCCATCGCCCTCGTGATGCCTCACTATTTTAATTCTCCACTGTGTCTTTTTTGGACCAGGAAAGGGAGGAGGACATGAAATATTAGCTTTCCTACAAACACCAGCCAGCTCTCAGTCAACCCAACCCACTGAGTACTTCTCCAGGAAGAGATGGTAGTCACTTGAAGAGAAACCGCTCGTTTCGTGTGTGTGTGTGTGTGTGTGTGTGTGTGTGTGTGTATTTTAATATCCCTGGAGTAAACCACAAAATCCCCTCGCCAGACCTACCAGGAAAGTGGCCTTGGTCTTGACCACCCTCACCAAGGCAGTCTGCAATCCCTTGAGCGGGAAGTAAGGGAGAAAAGGGGCTGCAAAGGGCAAGAGCTGGGGAGCAGCCGCTGAGGGGAGGCGGTTCACACGTGAGCCACGTCTCTAGCCTCCAGCAATACCTGCCCAGGCCTGGCGCCCCCAGCGTGGCGCAGCGGCCCAGGAAAGCCGCGTGATACTGGGAGACGCAGGCCCTCCTCGACCCCGGTCCAATCACGCTCCTTTCTGCCCGAGCGCAGGCCTCTCCCCGACGCATCTTTCCATCCGCCTCCGCCCCACTATACAACCTGGGGGCCAAAAAATTAGGAAGACGACACCTCCTCCCTGTTGGTCCCCTCCTCTCAGCCTCTCCGAGCCCCGATCACCAGCTGCAAGACAAGACCCTCCCTTCACACACTTCCCCCACCACTCGTCCGCAATTGCTCGGCAACCAGACCACCCCGGGCTCTTCGCGGGTCTGGGAAGGGATGCCGGCGACAGGCGCGCTGGCGACACGCCTGTTGGGGACCAGCCCTGGGAGACTCATGGGCCAAGGAGAGGGGGAGCAGTGCGTGGGCAGTCTGCGCAAGAGCCCAGAGGGTCCGCACTTCCTCCCCAAAAGTACGCGGGCGCGCAGGCGCTTCCAGCCCAGGACCCCTCGGGCCCACCTCCCCGACGCGCGCGCAGGAGAGCGCGCGCCCGAGACCGCGCCTACTGCTGCCCCCTCAGCTCCAGCTCAGCTGTCCGTGCGTCTCATTGACGCGAGCTCTCCTCCCGCCGCGGCTCAGGGGGTTTTTGTCTATATAAGGGCTCCCTGGCCCGCTCTGCGTCGGCGCCTTTGTCGCCGACTATCCATTATTTTTACACACGCGTGCGGCTCTGCCGGCAGCTGGTTTCGCAGGGGCACGCTCGCCTTCCTCTCGCCCGTGCCGCCGCCTCCCCCCTCCCTCCCGGGGTGTACTTACTTCACCCGGTGTCTGGCACGGGGTGGGCGCTGCAGCAGTCCGTTCCGCCCCCGCCGCCGGTTCGCTTCGCTGTCCCCGGATGAATGGAATTATTTATTTATTTATGTCCCTAGTCTTGTCCTCGCCCGCCGCAGCCGGCGGAGGAGGGGTGAAGGGTGGAGGGGAGGCGCGGCGGCTGAGCGCCCTAGTTGGTGCCCGGGAGCGCGCGCCGCTGGGTGGCGGGAGTGGAGGAGGAGGGCGGGGGCGAGCGCTCTGGGCTGTCCGCGAGCGGGCCGGCCGCGGGTGGGGGCGAACCCCGCCCTGTGACTCAGGGCCGACTGAGCATGCTCCCAGCGACTGTCACCGCTGTAGACACTCTCTGGGGCTCCCGGCCCTTCACTTCAGAGTTTAGTTTGGGCCAAGAAAGAAAATCAAGAGTCGGATAGGAAGACCTTTTGTTCCGGATCGGTCGTGACACGTTTTACCGAAGTACGTTGGCGGCGAGCCTAGGGGCCAGGTATACGGTAGCTCTACTTCGGTACCCTCGGGAAGTTGTGCAATCTCTATGAGAGGGAAAGTGTGCACGGGTGAGGAGCCTGCACAGTGCAGGGAGATTTGAAGATTCTCATTGTGACTGTGGCAGGAAAGTGTTGGGCCGTTTTTCAATTAAGATCTTTTTTTGGAGCGAAGGGAGGAATGGCAGGGATGTAGATGAGGCGCACCAATCAGTGCACGGGAAAGATAAAATTTACACCGTGGAACAAGGAGTACAGAAAATAGTACAAAAAGAGCTTGAAAGCAGGAAAGAAATGAAGTAAAGTCACTGTAAATAATTTCTCCCATTTTTAGTTTCTCAGATTTTTTAATTCTTCAAAGTAGGATTTAATAGTTGTCAATGAATAGTGCTGGGGATAATGGTAATTCCACAATCATTAGTTTGGTTTGTTCTGCCTTTATTTATTTTTTTTCTTCACTGTCTAGAACATGTGTTTTGGGGAAGCTAGAAAGAGGAAGGGCTGGCAGTGAACATTTAGTAACACCAAAGATTGGTTTCCTTAAATGTCTTCAGAGTTGAACTGCTTCTTAGAAGAAAAGGAACAGAAAAAGAAATGTGGGGTTGAATTTGAGAATTGGGATTGTCGTTTTTCTGTCAATTTAACAGAACTTCACCTCCAATACACAAACCTCTCTGCTCCTGAAAATGGGGAAAAGACACAAAGTTACTGTAAGGACCTATTTTATATTTTTATTTTAGCCAGAGGCTTCCACTGATGTTAAACAATAACTGTTTAACCCTTAAACGGTCCCTGCTCCTCTTCCCCCAGGCGCTTAAAAACAAGTCCCAGAAATCAGCTCCAGGTGTGGAGGCCAAGAAAAACAAGGCTGTACCCACCTCGGGTCTGGCCCTGACATAAGTACAGCCATCTTGGCAAAGCAGAAGCAGGCACCTTGCACTGTAAGAGTGGGTTAGCATAAGAATGGCCATCCTGAAGGCCTGGAAGCCATTTTACTGAGTGTCCCTAACAGGCTGACACTGCATATACCACCAGGGCGGTTAGGTGATGGCACCACAGGGACCAAATGTTGGAGAAAAACAAATAGTTAACTTGCCGAGATCACAATCCTGCTAGACGGGAGTCTCCCTTGGTTTGCAAATGTCCTGGTGATTTACAACAAAAAGGCCATCTTTTCAATGGCTAAGTACCTCGAGGCCAAAGGTCGCACTCCCCACCATAAAACTGTAGGAGGCTGAAGCAGAAGGAAATGTAATTAAGGTGAAAATTCTTCTAAACTCACTTAACCGCCAGGGTGACACTGGGGTAGCAAAAAGTTAAACTGTCAAAGTGGGGCACAAGAGATGTATGTAGCTATGAAAAAGTGCCTTGAAAATGGTATATAAACCCTTGGCTTTGAGTGCTCGGGGTCCTTGTTGAAACCCGCTGTGCTGGGCGGATACTTGGACCCCAGCTAGCTGGAAATAAACCTCACTGTGTGACTTGCATTATCGAGAGTGTTCTCTGTCTAATTGAGGGGTCTTCGACTCCGTACCCTAACAGTTATGTCAATCTTAGATATTAATATAACTTCCTGGAAGCTTTTCTTACTTATTCTAGAACTGAAATCATTTATAAGAAGTCAAGATAACTTAGTTGAAATAATTGAAGCTTTGAAGCTGCAGGGACAGGAATCAAAATAGTAATAACAGTAACTAATAATAATAATAATTGCTTATTTATAAGTGTTTATCACCGTCAGGAACTGCCCTAAGCACTTTAATGGGTTATTTCAATTAATAAAATACTATGATTTTTCATATTTTACAAATTTGGAAATAGACAAGCATATGGGGAGGAAAACTTTTTCCCTTCTTCCCTTCTATGTTCTTTAATTGGTCTAATAAGTAAATTGACATAAGACACATTAACAGGAGAAACACAAATTCATATGTCAGAGTCCATAAAAAGATGAGACTCAAAGAAGTGACCAAAGCAGACAAGGTTGGTTTCTACCTCCTTGTAGGCCCTGAATTCTCTATCTCCAGTGATAGGGATGTCTCTCTACCTCTGGTACTGAGAGGGTAACTTAACATGGGAGATTTACTTCCTGTTCACAGGGACAAAAGGTGGTCAGAGTGTCCTTCTTGGACTGGCTGTTTCCCAAGTAACTTTAATTCAAAATAATCAATATGCCACAGTGGCATATTTGGGGATAGCATTTTCTGCTCCCCCCTTCACAAGTTAAAGTTGTTTAGCTAAATTCATATTGTCCTGCTTCTGCCACAGCCAGTTTGTAGGCTTGTACAAAACTTGAATCTTAGTTTCTACAGCTACAAAGTAGAAATAATATCAACTTGTTATTTCTGTCATAAGATTTAGGTGAGAGGATATATGTATAGTAAATGGTAGATAATACAAGTGAATAAATGTTGCCTATTAGTAATTTCAAGAAGTTTGGAAGACAGTTTTACAGAGGAAGGATGTTGGAAATGAAGGAACTAAAGCAAAAAATTCCAGAAAAAACTAGTGTGAAGTGACATTTATATAAAATATAATAGGCATCTGATAGTGATAACATGTCTAGCAGTGACTATAAACATTTCATTTTCCTCACAAAAAATAATGTTAAATTTTGAAAAGAAACAACACCAAGACATACATCTCTAGGTCATGTTCTTCAATGTTTCCTATTGCCATTTTTCCTGCTCGTTCATCACTCATTTCCTTTCAAAGATGAGAAAGAAGAAAGACCATATATTTTCTGAATTTTGACCCCATTCTACATTTTCCTTCTTTTTGACTTTTTTTCTTTTTTTCTGTTTTTGTTTGTTGTTTATTTTTACAGCCCCACATTCTTGGTTTACCTAACTCGTTGTCAAATTTCTAAACATTACTGCCCATAGCATGAATCATAACTGTAGCAAGTTTTGTTTTGTTTTGTTTTGTTTTAATTCTTGTTTTCCCAACAATTAAAACTCTGGATCTAATTTACCTACTGCCCCAGTGTTAGTATTTGGGGATTCATCTTTAAGTTGCCTTATTGCTATGGTTAGGCATGCTATGTAAATATTTGTTTTGATTAGAAAGGAATCTGAAAGGGAATTAGGTGGGAACAAATCTAGTCAGTTTTTCCTATGACATGGTGTTAATATTACTCAGAAGTTGAGAAAAGAATACAATTAAGGGAAAGGACAAACTGTATGATCAGAACCTAAAATGTTTTTGGTAAAATGTTTTGCCTGGATTTCTATTCATAAAGTGAAATAACAGTGGAAGAAACAAAGAATAACAATATATTCAATATCCTAGCAACCCCTTTTCCACAAATAACTATACTAGTAAATGCATTAATCGCATATAAACTAATTAAGCTCAAATGTCTTGTACTGTCTACCCACAGCCCTACCCTCAGCTATGAGGTTCTGTACCCTCATCTATGAACTGTCAGGTTCTTCACTTCTCAATCATGCCATATCTTCTCACATTTTGCTGACTTTTTGCATTCCCCATTTTCTCTTTTTCATGTCAAACTTGTCTGAGCCTTGTTTTTTCTTCAGGTCCCGCAAATGTGTCATCACCTCTCTAGCATTTCAAGGATTCCTTCAATAAGAATTAATTCCATCTTCCTCTGTGTTCTTTTTCATAGAACATGGTGTATGCCTCTATTGGGGGCACCTCTTTCTGCTTTACATTATGGCTATATTATAATTTTTTTTCTGTCTCCCCAAACTATTAGGTTGTTGGAGGACAGAGATGACATTTACAAATCTCTGTAGTCTTCCAGTATCTGGCACAAATTCTTGAAGATAGAAGGTAATCAATGTTTGCCAGTTGGAAGAAAGAAATGATACTGTGACTTGAAGGAACAGATATCTTGTAGAGGTTGTTGGTGCTCGCAGTTTCCATGATCTGCATTTCCCAGCTTCTCTTACAGTTATATTGGAGCCAAGTGACTAGTTCTAACTAGTAGAGTATGAATGAAAATAACATATATCATTTCTAGGCAAAAGGAGTTAAGAGACAGTATGCTTCCTTCATTTTTGCTTTTCTCAGTCTCATGTTTTAGATAGAATAGCTATAAAACAGAGTCAGTAAAAGATAAAGAAGGACTGCTTGGTTTACACAAGACTGTGTGTGAACAAGAAACCATTACTGTGTTAAGTCACTGATATTTGGGGCATTATTTGTTATGAGAACATGGCTTAGCTTTTCTGACCAATACACGGTGTTACCTAAGAATACTATAAATCATAATGGAATAAAGACCCAATGAAACACTGAGCTTAAGAGAAAGCTTTAATGTGTTCTTAAGTCAAGGCTAAAAAATAGGTATTTAACAACCCAAAATAGATATTTAATAGTTTTTTCATAGCAAGGCGTGTGTGTGTGTGTGTGTGTGTGTGTGTGTATGTAAACTATACACCATAGATTGGTTTTAACTAAGAGCAAAAGGCCAAATGTCCAAATATTTCCCCTTAGCCTGGATGAAAAGAAATGTACCTGCCATCCTGTGGCAGCATACAATGACAGATTGTAGTGGGCTAGCAGCTGTCAATATGATGGCTCTGACCTGGTTTCATAGA